GGAGATACTTGATATTTGTTCGTATTGTATATAGTTTTGTATTAGGTTTAGAACTCTCTAATTTAGACAAAAGGGGAAAATGCTGTGTGAACTCCTTTAGTCAATAGGGTTTAAAATATTCTGGGTTCTTGTGGAATTCTTTTGTAGGCCAACACACCTATCTTCTATAATTTCCTGTTTGTTTGTTTATGCATGCCGCTCTCCTTTGTCGTCCCCTCTCTGATCTGTACTCACGACTAAAGTCTCTTCTGAACATAGTGCCAGTGCCACTTCTCCAATCACTGTCTAACAACGTATCTTCCTTGTGTGTCTGGCAATTTTAACTTTATACTGTTTATTGTGGATAAAGACTTGCTGAGACACAAGTAAATAGTTTCTATCGAAGAAGGGCAGACTTCCTCCTTCGTCAGAACACTTACGAGACAGAATGAACCAATTAATCTGAAGTTGAACAGTCGAGTCCACGTTGTGCTATGACTTTAATGAGGTTTAGTCACTTTAAATATACAGCAAGTGAAATCAGAGCTTCCCTGCAGCAGAACCTGGTGTCAGCACGTGGATGAGATAGAAGCTCCATCTCTCAAGGCCTTACAGCTGGATCACAGACTTGTAGAACTTCTAGCTTAGTAGGTGGTTCTGATTACTTTTCCAACTTGGTTTTCTGGGACTCTGGGCACATTTTCCTGTGCCCTGTCCTTGCCTCAGACTTTAGAAAACTGTGATATATACTTAGAAGAAGCCTTACATTTAAGAGGGACTCTGTGGTACTTTGAAAGAAAATGGCCCCCAAAGGGAGTGGCACTCTTAGGAGGTGTGGCCTTGTTGGAGGAAGTGTGTCACTGTGCGGGTGGGCTGTGAGGACTCTTATGCTCAAGCTTCCCTCAGTGTGACAGTCAGTTGACTTTCTGTTGCTTGTGATTTGTAGCACTCTCAACTCCAGCACCACGTCTGCATCTGCCTGTATGCTGCCATGCTCCACACCATGATAATGGACTGAACCTCTGAAACTGTAAGCGAGCCATCCCCATTAAATATTTTCCTTACAAGAGCTGCCATGGTCATGGTGTCTTTTCACAGCAATAAAAACCCAAACTAAGACAGACTCTTTCAAGGACTCTTATCCCCAGTTACACCCCTATGCTCTGTGAGACCTGCAGGAAGACCAAGACAGAATGTAGTCCCTATGCTGGCCTGGGAGGACTCATCCACATCTCTCACTTGCTGCACATTCCTTGACCTTGTAGCCCCTCTTCTCTCTACAGAAACGAAAGAGCCACAGCCCAGTGCCCAGGGAGGGCTGTAGACCTTCTGGAACTTGGCCTATCCAGGCTTCTTGGCATCTTTAGGCACTTGATGAAATTAGGAAAACAAGCAATGCTGCTGTGGCTGGTTCAGCTGTTTCCCATGCTCCAGCGGGCAGGACCACGTGCTGTGGGCAGACTGTGTTCTGTCTGCCTCCACAGGCTGTGGGGAGGCAGAGGTCCTGAAAGGCTGGTTTTAGAAAACTGGGAGAGACTAGAGCCAAGTGCTTCAGCGCTGGGATTTCCATCTGTCCTCAGTCACCATGCCCTCCGAAGTAACGATATTCTGTTCAACTCTCCGACTGTTTGGGGTGAATGAATTTTCATTACAATAAAAATAGATTTGTTATTCCCTGAAACCAATTGTCCCTCTGCTTTCCAAGAGTAATTACTCATTCTAAAACCCAACATCTCATAACATTGCTCCCTGAATTGTAGTCATTTTTAATGCCAAGTCATCAATGCATTCCACTTTTCTGTTTATTTTATTCACTTGAGTTATGGACACAATCTTAATTAGAAAAATTTGAATCAGATATGGTGGTGCATGCCTGAAATTCAAGAACTCCAGAGGCTGAGGTAGGCGGATTGAGTTATACAGCAGGGCACAAATAACAATTTTAAATTCCTTTATCAATATAGTGAAACAGAGGAAAATGAATGCAAGCAGCTTCTTGGAACTCTCTTCTGTGGAGTTTTAAACACTCCAGGGTTTAGGGCTCCATATGTAATGTGAGGCCCACATCGGATGAGCGTTTTCTGCATTGGGAGAGCTGGGATGCTGGGAGACTATTTGCAAGTGACTGGTCCTGCAGGTCTCTGAGCACCAGGATGCAGGCCTTGCCCAGAGTTCACAGTTTGACATGCCACAGAATCTATAGAATGGAGGAGA